ATTATTATTTTTAAAAAAGCCTTTCCACTGGGTGCCTGTAAAAAAGGGAGCCCCAGAATATCAGGGGCTCTTCAACAAGGTCTCCATGTTTAAATGCAGCATTCAACTGCCTGTTTTATTAAAAGCAGGGTGCAGTTATTCAAGTGCACGGTAAATTGGAACAAATGCAAAGTAAAACCCTAGGACTTTTTTTTTTAAATTATTATTATTTTAAAAAACCTTTCCACTGGGTGCCTGGAAAAAAAAAAAGGGAGCCCCAGAGTCCATCAATGGCTCTTCAAGATGGCCGCCAAATTTAAATGCAACTTGCTGTTTAATTAAAAGCAGGGTGCAGTTATTCAAGTGCACAGTAAATTGGAACAAATGCAAAGTAAAACTCTAGTTTATTTAATTTTATTTAAAAAAACCTTTCCACTTGGTGCTGGAAAAAAAAAACGGAGCCCAGAGTCCATCAGTGGCTCTTCAAAATGGTCGCTGTATTTGAATGCAACTGTCCGTTTAATTAAAAGCAGGTGCGGTTATTCAAGTGCGCAGTAAATTGGAACAACCGCAAAATAAAACCCTAGGAGTTTATTTTATTGTATTTTATTTAAAAAGCCTTTCCACTGGGTGCCTGGAAAAAAAGGGAGCCAAGGAGTCCATCAGTGGCTCTTCAACAAGGTCTCCATGTTTAAATGCAACGGACGTGCAACTGGCCGTTTAATTAAAAGCAGGGGGCAGTTATTCAAGTGGGACTTAATTCTTAATTTTACCACAAATGGCTATGTACACTTAATCCCCCCCAGGTACGAACGTTTATTTAGCCAGTGTTCCCCAAAACGGACTCATTCACAAAGGCTACTCACCGCTACACGTGCAAAACCGCCACCAAAAGCGCCTCTGCAGCCACGTGGCTCGGAGAGGAGAAGCCGGAAGTGGAGGTTTTTTTTTTTTGCTGCCTGGTCACGTGGCCGAAGCAGATTGGGGGATTTTTGCAAGACCTGCTTTGCTTTTGCTTTCCTGGAGCTGCCTGGGTGACCTCCTGCTTGCTGACCTTGAGGACTAGAGAGCTAGAATTTTACCAGCCTTGGGTGATTGCTGAAATAGCCCAACCAAGCATCGCAGGCCCACTGTGGTTTAGCTGAAAAGTCTCCAAACCTAAGCCACTTTTAAGCCTGGTGGACTTCAACTCCCAGAATTCCTCATGCTGGCTGAGGCATCCTGGGAGTTGAAGTCCACCAGGCTTAAAAGCTGCCAGGTTTGGAGAGCCCTGGTTTAGACTGGTGGTGCTGTATGAGCTTGCCTAATTGTAGTTCAGTCATGGTTTATAAGCCCCAGTTCAGCATGAAGTGTGAAATGAGAGTCAAGTGTTAACAACACTTTACAAAGCCTTGGTAAGGGCACACTTGGAATAGTTTTGGTCACCATGATGTCAAAAAGATGTTCAAACTCTCAAAAGAGTGCAGAGAAGAGCAACAAAGATGATTAGGGGACTGGAAGCTAAAACATATAAGGAACGATTGCTGGAATTGGGGATGTCTAGTTTAATAAAGAGAAGGATGAGAGGGTGACATCATAGTTGTGTTCTAATATCTCAGGGGCTGCCCCAAAGAATAAGGAGTCAAGCTATTCTCCAAAGCACCTGAAGGCAGGACAAGAAGCAAGGGATGGAAACTAACCCCTTACTCAGTCAGGAAACCCTACAAATGGCTGTCCAGTCTCTTCTTTAAAACCTCCAGTGTTGGAGCATTCACCACTTCTGGAAGCAGGTTGTTCCACTGGTTAATTGTTCTCACCGTCAGGAAGTTTCTCCTTAGTTCTAGGTTGCTTCTCTCCTTGATTAGTTTCCATCTGTTGCTTCTTGTCCTGCCTTCAGGGGCTTGGAGAATAGCTTGACTCCGTTCTTAATGGTTCATCAGAAATGAGCTGACTTGGCACCATTTCCACCCAGCCCTAATTTCATTATTTCAAAGCTGCTTACAATAATCTCCCTCATCACAGGGACGCATGATTTGTTAGTGCTAATTGTTAATAATAACAATTGGTTTACCACAACGCTCTGAGAAAAATGATCGGTGATCGGTGCCGAGGCATACACTCACAATCCTGAAGTTGGTTTTTTTTTTATTCCAGCCGCAAAGTGGAAGGGTGTCTTCTTGGGTCTTGCAAAAGGGCTGATGTTGGGATGGTTTTTTGTTTGGTTTTTCTGGCCAGGTGGTGCTTACACCGTCTGTGATAGACCAGCGTGACAACATTCCTCTCTCTAACATGCCTGAGCTTTTATTTTTTTCAAATGTTTTTATTACATGCTTGGCTGAAAAAACAGGGAGCCGTTTCAATGCAGGATTGAAATACTGAGGATATAATTTGATGGTTCTATGTTGGACCGCAGATTATTCATCCACGTTTGTTATAGCCACTCATAGATAGTGAAATTAATGTAGTTGAATGTAAAAATATCACATTCTTTTTTTTTCTGCTCTTTTCCTGTTTTTGAAGTGTGCTTTTTGGGCAAGGATTATAGTGATACCAGATAGATGACTGATAGATAGATAGATAGATAGATAGATAGATAGATAGATAGATAGATAGATAGATAGATAGATAGATCGGCAGGCAGGCAGGCAGGCAGGACTGAAAGATAGGCAGATAGATAGGACTGAATGACAGACAGATAGGACTGATTAGATAGATAGATAGATAGATAGATAGATAGATAGATAGATAGACAGATTTATTAGACAGACAGGCAGGACTGAAAGATAGGCAGATAGGACTGAGATAGATAGACAAACAGGACTGAAAGATATATAAGCAGATAGGACAGATAGATAAACAGACAGACATAAAGGTAGAGATAGATGATAGATACATTTCTTTATTAATCCAGTTAATAATAAATGCCCCTTTTTAGAAGATAATAATTTTAGGCAGATAGGACTGAGATAGGCAGATAGATAGATAGATCTGATTGGTTGGTTTTCAGCAATGGGATCAATTTCTCTCCTGTGCTTTCCTACCATGCTTTCAAATGTTCAGTTTGTAAAAAATTGCTCCCCCCCCCACCCCTCCATCAGCAAGAGGAGAAGAAGCAGCAAGGCGGGTTGGAAACTGTGAAATAATTAAAATCAATTACTCCCCTAGCCCCAGGCCACTGTCTCATTCTTTTTTCCATCAGGAGCCAAAAATAGGAAGCTGCCTTTTAAGCAGTTGCACTGTCTGATCTCTCTCTCTCTCTCTCTCTCTCTCTCTCTCTCTCTCTCTGTGTGTGTGTGTGTGTGTGTGTGACACAGGACTACTTACGATGCCATCAGGAGTGTCAAAAGGGCACCTGCCCTTTGCCAAGCGACCCACGTTGCTCTAGTCGTTCCGGGAGACCCTCGTGTGAACACAACGCTAAGGATCCGCTTCTCCTTTTGCACCGCTTAAACTTGCAGAAAGTGAGACATTTGAAGTTGCAAAAGGATGCGGGGAAAAAAGGGACGTCGCTATTTTTCACACATACGTTGCCGCCTCCCCGCGGTCACGTGATTAAAATTCGGACGCTTGGCAACGGACTCACATTTACGATGGTTGCAGTGTCTGGGGGGGGGTACCTGATCCTTTTGCCACCTTCTGACGAGCGAAGTCAATGAGAAAAATCAGATTCGCTTTTCAACCGTCTTATAAACTTTATCCCTGTCGTGATTTACTTAACAAGGGGGTGGCAAGCGCGGTTGTGAAAATGGGGCGAAAAAAAAAAAATCACTCAGCGACTGTCTTGTTTAGCAACAGAAATTTGGGGGGTCAGTTGTGGTGCTGAAGTCGGACACTTAGCTGTAAACTCTCAGCTTTTCACTCAGGTGAAGCTCCTAAGACAGGCTCACCTTGCAGACTCCAAAGATGCTCAGCCTGGCGGCCCCAGGTAGTTCGGCGGCCTGGGAGTCAGGTGAGGTGAGGTAGCTGCCAAGCTGGTGTCTAGATGTCGGAATGAGCTGGATCAGAGCCAAACTCAGGATAAATCCTGACAGTGGGGAGAACCTGTGGGTAAGCAGTTTTTATGTCCGGGAATTAAATTTACAAGTCTTCTCCCCCCCCCCCCCGATGCTGTTGGCTGATCTTTGAAATAGCAGGTGTGTAGCTTAGAGGGAAGGATGGGGGGAGAATTGTGCAAGATTTCTGAAGCAGAATCAAGGAGCTAAAATGGAATCTGGTACGTAGAGTAGAGTAGAATAATAGAATAGAATAATAATAGAATAGAGTAGAATACAATACAATAATAGAATAGAATAGAAGAATAGAATAGAATAGAATATAGAGAGTAGAGTAGAATAGAAGAATAGAATAAGAATAGAATAGAATAGAATAGAATGTAGAGAGTAGAGTAGAATAGAATAGAAGAATAGAATAAGAATAGAATAGAATGTAGAGAGTAGAGTGGAGTAGAGTAGAATAGAAGAATAGAATAAGAATAGAATAGAATAGAATGTAGAGAGTAGAGAGTAGAGTAGAATAGAATAGAATGTAGAGAGTAGAGTAGAATAGAATGTAGAGAGTAGAGTAGAATAGAATAGAATAAGAATAGAATAGAATGTAGAGAGTAGAGTAGAATAGAAGAATAGAATAAGAATAGAATAGAATAGAATAGAATGTAGAGAGTAGAGTAGAATAGAATGTAGAGAGTAGAGTAGAATAGAATAGAATGTAGAGAGTAGAGTAGAATAGAAGAATAGAATAAGAATAGAATAGAATGTAGAGAGTAGAGTAGAATAGAAGAATAGAATAAGAATAGAATGTAGAGAGTAGAGTAGAATAGAAGAATAGAATAGAATAGAATAGAATATAGAGAGTAGAGTAGAATAGAAGAATAGAATAAGAATAGAATAGAATGTACAGAGTAGAGTAGAATAGAATGTAGAGAGTAGAGTAGAATAGAATAGAATGTACAGAGTAGAGTAGAATAGAATGTAGAGAGTAGAGTAGAATAGAATAGAATGTAGAGAGTAGAGTAGAACAGAAGAATAGAATAAGAATAGAATAGAATAGAATGTAGAGAGTAGAGTAGAATAGAATGTAGAAAGTAGAGTAGAATAGAATAGAATGTAGAGAGTAGAGTAGAACAGAAGAATAGAATAAGAATAAGAATAGAATAGAATAGAATCCATTCTGTAGGACAGTGAGTGGTTGATGTTCTCCTCCCATTCTATAGGACAGTGACCGGTTGATGTTCTCCTTCCATTAACTAGTTCTCTCTCATCTTTCAGCTCTGCAAATGTCGGTCTTCTCCAGTCCTCATTTCATGTCTGATTATATATTGACCAGACACTGATGCGGTGATCCTTGGAGCCAGCTGCCATTAGTCTCTCACTGGGCTGGTTGTGATCTGAGAAGGCTACACAATAGACTGTGGACGTGTGGTAGTCTAAGACCGCTAACGGCTTTAGCTTCTTCCAGCCAAAGAGACGGATGCGGTGATCCCAGCCGGCCGTTGCCAAGATCTTCTTGTCTTGACGTAGAGTCACCTCAGAGATCCCAGGGTTGGTGAGCTGGTATGTTTGTTGAAGCTATGGAAAACATCAGATGTGGAAAGATGAGCGTGGCCAAAGTTTATTTGTGCAGTCAAAGGAAAAAAACAAAACAAAACAAAAAAACCCCCCACTCAGATAAGACTGACCTCATTTCTCCCCAAAGAATGGAAGCATGCTGAAGTTCCATCTCTCCCATCCTCTTCCTGCCCTTTCCCTCCCTACCAATATTTTGACACGATGATATGACTTATAAGCTACAAACCTACTTAGAGATGGCTCTTGCAATTGTCTTCTGTGGCGTTTCCTGACACAAATTCTACCTGAGCTTAAAAGAGCAGCTAAACTGATATAGGTGCTGGAGGCCAAAACATATGAAGAACGGTTGCAGGAATTGTGTTATGTCTAGTCTAATGAAAAGAAGGACTAGGGGGGACATGATAGCAGTGTTTCAATAGCTGAAGGGCTACCACGAAGAAGAGGGGAAGGAGTTGAAGTCCACAGGTCTCAAAACTTGCCAAGTCTGGATCTGCACAAAGGAACATGGGACACACTGTCAGGCCATCCCGAAATGGCTCATTATTGGCGTTTCCTCCAGCAAGATAGACACCTAGGATGTCTACCCTCGGTGTAACACGTTCATTACGGAGCGAGAGCTGCTGAAATACTTCTCAGCAATAAAAGCAATAGAGTGACAGCCGAGTGGCTTTCCAAAATGCCATGGTTATCTCAGGAGCTTGGAATGTCCAGGAAAAGCCCCATCTGGTTTGTATTATTAATTCAAACCGGATAGAAGGGAACAATTGAATGGGGGGTCTATCATAGTCTGGAGGAGGAGGAGGAGGAGGAGAAGGAGAAGAGAAAGAGGAGGAGGAGGAGGAGGAAAGGAGAAGGGAAGGAGAAGAAGAAGGAGGAGGACGAGAAGAGAAGGAGGAGAAGGAGAAGAAGGAGGAGGAGGAGAAGAAGAAGAAGAAGAAGGAGAAGAAGAAGAAGAAGAAGAAGAAGAAGAAGAAGAAGAAGAAGAAGAAGAAGAAGAAGAAGAAGAAGAAGAAGAAGAAGAAGAAGAAAGAGGAAGAGGAGGAGAAGGAAATGATTTCAAATTGTTCAACCTAGTCCATCCTAATTGGCTACTGTGGAAAAAAAGATAGCTTTATCCTTCTGGCAGTCAAATTTTCATTTTTTTTTTTCATATTTCCACAAGGCTCAAGATGGCCGCAAAGAGAATAATGCCTGGTCTTTCTCAGTAGCCTGTTTCGGCTGCCATTTGCTTGGCACGCGACCCCAAATGTGTTATTAGGAAGCGTGACGACCTACAGACCTTGTCAAAATTAGCAGATTCTGAATTTTCAATTGCATGGGATGCAAAACACAAACGCCATTCCCCTTGGAGAATTATTATTATTTTTTTTTAGAGCTGGGAATCAACCCAGAACCCTCCTATTGCTCAGTCCACAATTCTTTTTTGTTTGTTTGTTATTCTTTTATGCTAGATCTGACAATTTTTTTTAAAAAAAATTTTTTTTCCTCTTCTCTGGAGTTCTCCCTAGAATCGGAGGAGTTGTCCAACGTGTTTCCCCAAATTATTTGCGAAGCTGCACAGCCCTAGTAAATAGGTTGCTGCCTGGAGGAGCATCGGCTTGCTAAAAAAAAAAGTGTGGATTTTCTTCCGTTTCAATCTCCTGCTTGTTCCCAAACCAGAACGGTAGCAGCCATTTACTGTATACAGTTCAAATATCATTTTTTTCTCCCACCTCAAGCACAAAGTCCAGAAAGTGGTTTCCAAGTAGAAACAAGGGTATTTATATTCTTGTCTTTTATCAAAAGCCGATTTAGCCATCTCCGCTAACTCCCATCAACTTTTGTAGCCATAGATTGATGGCTTGAGGATTTATTTATTTTTTCAAATTTTTTTTTAATTTTTATTCACTTGCAATGTAAAATACGAAAATACAAAAGCAAATAGTAGGGAGCAAACGGAAGAGAAAGGGAAAAAGAGAAGGGTGGAAAAGAGGGGGGGGGGAGAGAAAAAAAGGCATTGATTTCTGACTCCCTCCGTTGCAGTAAAATCAGGCATTAGCACTGAACCTCAACTTTTTACATTTCTATATCCACAAATCCAAGCATCATTTTTTTCCCACCCTCAAGCACAAAGCTCAGAAGCGGTTTCCAAGTAGGAACGAAGGTCCTTATAGTCTTTTATTTTATCAAAACCATCAATGAAATGTTAAGGGCACTTCCCATCTCCAAACCATCATCTCTCAGAGATCATAACCAGCCTGTGATTCGTTGGCTCAGCATCCGCGAACAATGCCTAAATATTTTTTTTCCCTGTCTATCGAACTGTTAGTGCCCCAAAATGAAGAAATAGCTATTCAGGAAGGGCAAAGAGACTGACCTCCAGGTTCTCCAGCCTGGTGGGGCTCCAGACGCAAAGTTTCTTCTCTGAGGACCCGGACACCCCCTTGGCCTTCTCCGAATCGAAGTCAAGGCTCATGACCGGCTCCTGATGACAGGTGATCCGACTCAACATTCGGCCCATCGACAAATCCCACAGAACCACCGACCCGTCCTCGTAGCCGGCCAGAAGGTGAGGATGAGAGCCAGTGCTGGGCTGATAGCATATAGATCGTTTGCTTAGTGACCGTTGGAAGTTCATCATCCATCTCTCTATTAACTATCTCTCTATCAACTATTTTTCTATCTAATCTCTATCATCTATCTATCTATCTATCTATCTAACCTATATCTATCATCTCTATCTAATCTATCAACTATATCTATCTAATCTATATCATCTCTATCTAATCTCTCTATTAACTCTATATCTATCAACTATCTCTAACCTATCTCTATATCAACTCTCTCTAATCTGTCTCTAATCTCTCTCCCTATCTAACCTTATATCATCTCTATCTATTCTCTTATTTTCTCTCTATCAACTCTTTCTCTCTCTAATATCTCTCTCTCTCTCTCTCTCTCTCTCTCTATCTATCTATCTATCTATCTATCTATCTCAATTATATCTAATATCTATCTTCCAACAGTATCTTTATTATTATTATTATTACCTACCTACCTACCTACATCACGTGATTCCTTTTTGTGACCTTCTGACAAGCAAAATCAATGGGGAAGACAGCCTCACTTAACAACTGTGTTTCTAATTTAACAACTGCAGTGATTTGCTTAAGAACTGGACAAGAAAGGTCGTAAAAGGGGGCAAAATTCACTTAACAACTGTCTTGCTTAGTGATGGAAATTTCGGGGTTCAGTTGCAGTCCTAAGTCAAGATCAACCCATATCTGTGGCTATTTTTCTGTATTCTGTATCTTTTCCCTCCACCATTTCACCACCCCATAACTCAGGGCTCTTCCAACTGGGCCCTTTGATGACTTGTGGACTTCAACTCCCAGAATTCCTCAGCCAGGCAGAGGAATTCTGGGAGTTGAAGTCCACAAGTCACAAAAGGACCAAGTTTGAAGACCCCTGCTATAACTGGTACCAGCGCTGATCTTGGTACCAGCCTTGTTACAGAACATGCTGATGAGGGTGCGATTGTTCGGTTGTTCCATTTTTATATTGATTTATGGCTTGCACGGCAGCTCTGTCAGTTTGTTTGGGCTCCAGGCAGGCTGACTGATTTTTCCTGATTCACAGGAAGATGTTTTATTGCCTCGATACCCATCAACTCCTCCAAGGCAAAATCACACACTTTCCCGGCCAACTGGGCGAGGCTGAATTTGCATGTGCGCGCACACACACACACAGAGTCTTCCCTTCCTTTTCCCACCAGTTGAAGGTTGTTTCGCAAGCGGGATCGTTCTTAAGAAAACGCATGTAAGAACTGGAGAGCGAACAACGTGCTTCATATACAGATAGTCCTTGACTTACGGCATTGTCCGTTGTTAAGTGAGTTTGCCCCCCCCTCCTTACGACCTTCCTTGCCTCGGTTGTTAAGGGAATCCCTGCAGTTGTTAAGTTAGGTTGTTAAGTGAATCTGGCTTGATTTCGCAAAAGGAAAGATCGCGTGAGCCCCCCCGAAGACGCTGCGGCCGTCTTTAAGACACGCCAGTTGCCAAGTGCCCGAATTTTGATCACGTGATCCCGGGGGATGTGGTGACGGTCACGAAGTGTGAGAACCTATTTTAAGTCCCTTTTTTCCATGGCTGTTATAACTTCAAACCCATCGCTAAAACGAACGGTTGCAAATCGACCTGTCTTGTTAAGAGTTTGTGAACCCATGTTAAAAACCAATAAAATATTTTTGGTAAGAGGGTGAGAAATAGAATATATTCAAATAGATAAGACGTGTATTCTGAATATTATATTTGGTGATGAATTGGGACAAAGGGAACTGTGGTTATTTAAAACTTGGAAATTATAAACATTAAATGTTAAATTTAAATATTAATGGGAAACTAAACATCGGGAAAAACCAATCAGGACATTGATAGTCTATAAAGACTGGATGTTAAAATAACTAGGGTATGTATAAACTTAAAATTATTGATAAATGTAAGAAAGTTATTTTTATTTAATTGACATAATAAGAATTGTATTAGTTTAAACGTGAGACAGTAAACACTAAGGGGAAAAGAGAGGAAATATTTAACGTAATAATTTGAGACTTGTACTAAAGATATTTGTATGTTATTGAATTCTCGAGTAACTCAGCCGCCACGTTGCTTTTTAAATATTTAAATGTAAAACTAGAAAATGATATATATATATATATATATATATATATATATATATATATATATATATATATATATATATATATATTTATATTTTTAAAAAGAGTTTGTGAACCCCTGGGCTCGCTTTAGGACCAGACTCTAATTTCAAGCTCAGTTACAGTCATAAGTTGAGGACTTCCTGTATCGTTAAGTGTTTGTGAACCCGTGGGTTTGCTTTAGAACCAGAGCATTGGCTTTACAGTATAACCACCACGTTTGCTTAACACCCCCCCACAAAAAAATGTCACAAAATCAGGCCGGTCACACAACCACCCAATTAACAACCGGCAGGATATGACTGTCATTCTGAGCTCAATTACAGTCGTAAGTCGAGGACTTCTCAGATTTGCAAAACGCGGTTCCCGCAATTTGCCAAAGGAGATTCCCGTTTTCCTCTCCTGCCTTTAAGAACATAATTAGTTGATTGCTTTTGACAATCTCGGGAGAAATATTCTTTGCAGGAAAGAATGATTCATGAGCTCTGTCCTTGCAATTGGTGTGCCGAGAAAGAGTTTTCTAATTAGCTTCTCTCGGCTTACCTGCCAGATCCTCAGAGACATGGGCAGGCCCAGCTTGGCATCGGCCTCCGCCTTCAGGGTACAGATGGGTGTCTTAGATGGCAGCTCCAGAACGTGAACCTGATACATAGATAGATAGATAGATAGATAGATAGATAGATAGATAGATAGATAGATAGATAGATAGATAGATAGACAGACAGACAGACAGACGGACAGATAGGTGGGTGGATGGGTAGGTAAGTAGGTAGATAGGTAGGTAGGTAGGTAGATAGATAGATAGATAGATGGATGTAGGTCAGTAGATATAGACAGATAGATATAGAGATAGATATACACAGACAGACAGACATTGATAGAGGTAGATAGATAGATATAGATAGATAGATACAGATAGATAGATAGATAGATAGATAGATAGATAGATAGATAGATAGACAGACAGACAGACAGAGATGATAGACACCCAGAGATGATTGGTAGATGAATGGATAGATATATAGAGAGGTAGAGAGAGAGGGAGGGAAGGAGGGAGGGAGAGAGAGAGAGAGAGAGAGAGAGAGATGGACGGATGGATAGGTGGGTGGATGGGTAGGTAGGTAGATAGATGTAGGTAGGTAGATATAGACAGATATAGAGAGACAGACAGACATAGATAGATAAAGGTAGGTAGGTAGGTAGATATAGACAGATAGATATATAGATATAAAGAGATAGAGATAGAGATAGAGAGAGAGAGAGAGAGAGAGAGAGAGAGAGAGAAAACCTTTATTGTCATTTTTTACTCTGGGTACACTGGGTACATTAAAAATGAAATTTAGTTGCTTGCTCTCAAACTGTACACATATACATAACACACATTTATACACACTATACACAACGTATGTATAGACCTACACCCTTACATATAAGCAACATATAAATATTAATCATTGCCCAGGAAAGAGGAAAGAGGAAACTTGAGAGTTCACAAGGTTGATACAGTCTGGAACAAAACTGTGACTGAATCTGGATCTTCTGCTTCGGATACCACGGAGCCCCCCTCCTCCCAGAAGGTAACAAGGAAAAACAGGTTGTGAAGAGGGTGTGTAGCATCCCAGACAATCTTGTGGAAAGAAGTCATATTGGTCCCCAACACAACCAACACAATGGAAAACCTTGTCGGGTGATTGACAAGAGGCTGGGGCAAACAACCCTTTCATTTGAAAGATTAGAGAAAAGAAGGACGAGGGGGGACATGATAGCCGTATTCCAGCATTTGAGGGTCTGCCACAAAGAAGGGGGGGGAGTCACCTCATTTTACAAAGCACCAGAAAACAAAGACAAGAAACAACGGGTGGAAACTAATCAAGGAGACAAGCAACTTGGAATTAAGGAGAAACTTCCTAACAGTGAGAACAATTCACCAGTGGAACAGCTGGCCTCCAGAAATTATGGGGGCTCCATCACTGGAGGTTTTTTTTAAGAAGGTTCAAGTTTGTTCCAAAGAATAATAGTTTGAGGAGGTCCTTGGTGCGCTCTGAAACCCGGTTGTTTTCTTGAAGACGCTTCGTTACCCAAGTAGGTAACATCATCAGTTGGGTAATGAAACGTTGCCAAGAAAAGTAACCAAGCTCAAAGAGCACCAAGGATTCCCCCAGTCCTCCTTCTCTGCAAACCTCCGTTCTTCTAGCACTGATGATGTTACCTAGTTTGGTAATGAAATGTCTACAAGAAAACAGCTGAAGCTCAGAAAGTACCAAGGATCCCAGAGTCGTCCTCCTCCTCCTTCTAACTTTGATGATGCTACCTAACTGGGTTTTCTGTACCTGCAGAGAATGTGAGCTACATTGTAATGAATTCAGTCAAACTCTGATTAAATCAGATTGGGGTCTTGCCTCAGATTTCGCAGGGTGCCTGCCACCAATCACTCACAAGCTAACGAAGACCCGACCTCTGAATAAAACTATGATTCATCCCACTTTTGACAACTAAGGCATAGGACTCCATGCGTTCACGCAGCCCACTTGCTAACCCCAACAGGAGGAGCCCCCCCCACGAGCGAGGGGCTTGATAAATTTAATTTATTTCAATATTTCTTTCAATACTTCCCCCCCTCCCATTGTTTTTCCTCTTTTGGCCTCTTTCCCAGCTTTATGCACTTATGGGGGGGGGGGAAATGCTCGTTGAAATGCAAAATGCAAAAGTTTTGCTCCTTGAAATGCCATTTTTGAGTAGTAGAGGGTGGCCTTGCCAACTCAGCGTGTTGCAGTCAACACGCCACTTAGAAATTAACCTTCAAAACTAACCCTGCGCCTTTGTGCCGAAGCCCCTGCTCTCCCCCAGGGAGAACAAAAAAGAAACGAGACCAAGCTGTTTCAAGAATACAAAAAAGGCCAGTTGGAACAGTTTGTGGATTGTATTTCAGTTCCTGCAGTGTGTGTGTATGTGTGTGTGTGTGTACGGGGAGGGGAGGGAGAGAGGACGCCCCACATTTATAATTTACCAACGACACTTTTTTCAACACGAAGGACAGCAAGCTGAGCTGAAGCAGGCGAACGGATCTCTGGAGGGAATCAAATTGGTCATGTTTTTGCTTGGTTCCACTTCTGGAACCAGCGACGAGAGTCAGCTGAGATCAGGGATGTGCAGAAATTCAACAGTGTTGGAGGCCTTTAGAGGAGTTGCCCCAACTGTGAAATGGGCTGTCTGATTCTACTGTGCATTTTCTTGAAGAGAAGAATAGGCGAAGAAGCCGCCTTATTTATTTTTTTACTATCCTTTCAGATTTCTCTCTCTCTCTCTCTCTCTCTTCTTTTCCCCCTTCCTTCCTTCCTTCCTTCCTTCCTTCCTTCCTTCCTTCCTTCCCACTTTTCCTTCTCTTGGCTGAGATTGGCCTCAAACATGGTCCTTGTCTTCTCTTGGGCCTCTCTTGGCTGAGATTGACCACAAACATGGCCCTTGTCTTCTCCTGAACTTCTCTTGGCTGAGATTAGTCTCAAATATGGTCCTGGTCTTCTCCTGGACTTCTCTTGGCTGAGATTGACCACAAACATGGTCCTTGTCTTCTCTTGGACCTCTCTTGGCTGAGATTGACTACAAACATGGTCCTTGTCTTCTCTTGGACATCTCTGGGCTGAGATTGACCACAAATATGGTCCTTGTCTTCTCTTGGACTTCTCTTGGCTGAGATTGGCCTCAGACATGGTCCTTGACTTCTCTTGCCTGAGACTAGCCTCAAACATGGTCCTTGACATCTCTTGGACTTCTCTTGCCTGGCCTCAAACATAGTCCTTGACTTCCCTTGGACTTCTCTTGGTTGAGATTGGCGTCAAACATGGTCCCTGTCTTCTCTTGGACTTCTCTTGGCTGCAATTAGTCTCAAACATGGTCCTGGTCTTCTCTTGGACTTCTCTTGGCTGCAATTAGTCTCAAACATGGTCCTGGTCTTCTGTTGGACTTCTCTTGGCTGAGATTGGCCTCAAACATGATCCTGGCCTTCTCTTGCCTGAGATTGGCCTCAAACATGGTCCCAGTCCCAGTCTGACACACCCTAACCACACCACACATTTTGCTTGTTCAAAGAGTGGGCAAGTTATGGCACGAGCATCTTTGACTAGACTGAGAGAACCTTCACCCATGTAGCCGGCGGGCTTTGGAAAAGTAATATCCTAGTTAGCATGTAATTTAAAACCAGAAGGAGAAGGTTTCCACAGGAAAAAAAAATGTTTTTATTTTTGCCTGGGGTTACTAAGGTTCTTCTGTGGCTACAGGTCACCCCAAGAATATGCATTCTTTTTGTTGTTGTTGTTACATTTCTAAGACTTTTTAAACATGTGTCTGACAAATTGGCAAGAGAGATGCGCGTAGCTCATACCTGGCGGTTTTAGCGCAATCAGGAACAAATACATGCCTGTTTAGATCGTATTATTTATAGAAAGAACCTGCTTCAAGGGGTGAAAAAATTCTATTTTGGATAGTGGCCAAGTGTGAACACATATTAAGTCTTCGTGTTAATCATAAGCCTCAGAGTGCTTTGGCTCTGCCTTTAAGGAGGTTTCCAGGTTTTACAGATTTTTATGGGGCTTCTTCTTGTTCCAAATTTTTGATTACTTTATCACTTAAACATGAGCCAGCAGTGAGCAGCAGCAGCAGCAGAAGTCAAAAAAGCCAACACAATCCTTGGTAGTATAAACAGAGGCATAGAATCAAAACAACATGAAGAATTAGAATCGCTTTATAACGCCTTAGTAAAGGCCACACCTGGAATACTGCATCCAGTTTTGGTCACCACATTACAAAAAAGATGTTGAGACTTTGGGAAGAGTGCAGAGAAGAGCAACTAAGACGATTAAAGGCCTGGAGAGTAAAACATACGAAGAACGGCTGCAGAAATTGGGCATGGCCAGTCCAGAGAAAAGAAGGACTAGGGTAGACATGATAGCAGGCTTCCAATATTTGAGGGGCTGACCCAAAGAAGAGGGGGGTCAACCTGTTCTCCAAAGCCCCTGAAGGCAAGACAAGAAACAATGGGTGGAAACTAACCAAGGAGAGAAGCAACCTAGAACTGAGGAGAAACTTCCTGACAGTGAGGACAATTAACCAGTGGAACAACTTGCCTCCAGAAGTTGTTGATGCTTCATCAAACTCTCCAAAGCAGCTCCACTCTTTCTTAGTATGCGACCAATTCATCACATAAGAACAGAGAAGGAAATTCTACAATACATCAAGTGCTAAGTGCATCAAAGTGATAAAATGTGTTTTGGGCTCAGAACCCCATCCCAGCTAAGATCAACCTAACTATGAAGATGAAGATGGGAAACCCTGGTTAAAACTGGGCTCAGGAAACTCCACCACCACCCTCAAAGAAGATCCAATTGATGCGATGGATTCTGATCTCCCCTCTCCCGTTAGTTCTTTGATCCAGCAATATTTGCCACGGTCCCATTTATGAAAACCTGAGCAACGTTCCAGATGCCTTCAAAACCATTCCCACAACTCCTTGCCCGGGGCCAAGCTCAAAGGAATATCTTGGGGAGTATTTGGCCACCGGGCAAGGCAGAGAAGATACATCTTAGAGGAATGACTCACCTCGTCTAACCCTTTCCATGGGGTGGCCAGGAGGGACCGTTTCTCCGTCACCTCAGAGAGGGAACATTTGCAGAACCCAACGTTGTCGGTGAAAAGAGTTTCAGTGACCACGTTCCTTCCTTCAGATAAGTCCCACAGGCAGATGTTCTGGTCACGGCCCTGACTTTGGCAATCAAAATTATTACTTAAACGTAAGCAAACATAAACCAGGTACTTATGATCCTATGTGGTGGACATGTGTTAAAGCAGTGGTTCTCAACCTTTTTAATGCTGCGACCCCCCAACCGGTCGTAAGTCGAGGACTACTCAACCGGTCGTAAGTCGAGGACTACTCAACTGGTGCAGCACTGTTTGCAGAATGGGACTTTTGGCGGGCTCAGCAGGGCAGAGACAGCCTGGACAATTCCTATTGGCTTTTGAAAGCCAATAGAATTAGACTCTATTCAAGAGAGTCTATTCTATTGGCTTTCAAAAGCCAATAGAAGAAAAGGGAGTAGCACAGCTAAGGAAAAGGGAGAAAAAAAGGGCGGACTGCGTTGTTTGGCGACCCCCGTGAAATGGTCGTTCGACCCCAAATGGGGTCCCGACCCACAGGTTGAGAACCACTGTGTTAAAGCAAGGAGATATCTGACAAAAATTAACTTAACAACAGTTCATTTGGGGACCATTCAAAGTTACAAAGGCACTGGAAGAAGTGACTTATGACCGTTTTTCACTGTTACGACCACTGCAGTAAATCCATAGTTACATAAACAGAATTCAGACGCTTGGCAACTGACTCATACTTATGACGGCTTGTAGTGTCCTAAGGTCATGTGATCCCCTTTTGCAAAGTCAATGGGGAAGTCAGATTCACTTAACAACTGTGTTACTAACTTAACAGCTGCAGTGATTCTCTTAACAACTCTGGCAAGAAAGGCCGTAAAATGGGACAAAATTCACTTAACAAATGTTTCACCTAGCCACGTACATTTTGGGCTCAATTGTGGCCGTACGTTAGGAGGACTACTTGTAATCAATGCTACCAAACTTGAATTACGCCTTGTTAATTGCAGGCTCACCTCAGAAGTCCATTTCTTCTGTTGGGTAACGTTTTCACACAATACACTGATTTTCCGCCGTGGCCATTCAGGCTACTACAGGCTCGCCGTGTCTTCAGATTCCAGATATGGATCAGCCCGTTAGAAGATCTGTTTTAAACCCCCCCCCCCAAAAAAAAAATTTAAAAAGGGAGAATTAACCATGATTTTTGACATTCTGACTCGGTGTTTAATACAACAGATTTTCAACACAGTTGTCAACAAAACGAGAAGCTAAAAAGATGAGATAATTACGTCTCTTATTTAAATGAAACACCCCTGTAGCTTCTTTGCTGTTTCCGTGTGTTGGTTACAGATTTTAAACCACTTAAACGGGATCGCTTGAAAAATAAAAAGGCAGTATGTGGCAATGTAAATACCGCATTGTTGTATTTGTAAAGGTAACGGATTCCCATCCAGTCATGCCCGACTCTACGGCACGGTGCTCAGTTCCGTTTCTTGGCCGAGGGAGCCAGTGTTGTCCGAAGACAATTTCTGTGGTCATGTGGCCAGCATGACTATATGCTAAAGGCGCACGGAAAGCTGTTACTTTCCCGCTGAAGTGGTACCTATTTATCTACTTGTCAGGATAATGATTTAAAGCAGACATGTCAAACTCACGACATCACGTAACATCGCGCAACGTATCGGAGCTTTTTTGCCATTGCCGGCAATGGGATGGGCGCGGCTCCGATATAATGAAACCGGCCCGCAGGTCGGCAGTTTGACACCCCTGATTTAAAGGCTAAACTGCTTATGTAGTGATGTAATGAAACAAAAGGTGGATGATGCAGTAATAGGAATGACTCAGCAGGATCTGTGTCTGTGCCTTTAAGAGCCCGAGTATATAAGGGAAGGCTTTCTCTCTCGTCCGTTTCCTGCTGTAATTGCTGGACATTGGAGTTTGCTGTTTCACCACGTGTATGTATTTTGTTCCTAGTGTATATTGTAGATAGTGTAATATAAACCACCATTTAATTACAAACCACTGTTTACTGTGTTTACTCCTGGATTATCTCAGCGTAATAAGACCGTGCATGCTCCGACACATTTGCCTGCTTTCGAATTGCTAAATTGACAGGAGCTGGAGCAGGGAACGAGAGCTCACCCCGTTGCATAGAGCTCGGATCTTGAACCCAGGCTCTCAGCTCTCCAACTGAGAAGCTTGGTGTCTTTAACCCTTGAGCCATGGCGCAACCACGTTGTGTTTGTATTTGCAGACAATTGTGTGCTCTTTCTTTACTCACCCTGAGTAAAGAATGGGAAAATCTGGATCTGCGTTTGAACACTGAAAGCACAACGTATTGATGCCACTGTCTATTCCTCGCAAAACGTAGACAGGATCTGGCACAGGAACAGCCATCGTGACACAGCCAGTTAGAAGTTCCTGGAAAAAAAAAGAAGAAACAAAGATGGAAAGACAGTCTGGTTCAGCCAGGCTGCTGGACTTCTGGATCACTCAGTAGCCTTGTGATAAATAAAACTTGAAAAAGAAAAATCTGATCGGGCAACAGTTAAAAGCCTCCCAACTTAGTTTGCATTCCTTCCAAAACGCACAACACGTTTACACAAGTTGAAAAGCATACTACAGGCAGTCCTCAAGTTACAATTGTAACTCAGCCTACAATGACCATCGTAAGTCATTGCAGTCATAAGCTGAAATAGTCATGTCATCTAAAGTATTTTTTTTTTTTTTGTGGTGTCTTTAAGGAAAAGCATTCCTTTCAACAGTCTGCCGAAAACTCTGAAAACTGAAAACAGGCTGGGAACTATCCCCAAAAACACGGTGAACTGTGGTCACATGACTGTGGAATGCCGTGACCCACCCCACCCGTAGTCATATGAACATTGGGGGGCACGACTCTTTACGAGAACTATGGAGGGGGCTTTAGGGACCAGAAAGCACTCGTTCTATGGCTGTCGTAACTTTGAACGGTCAAAACAACAGCAAGCAAGGTCTAACTCTAGTTGATGTCTGAATCAGACTGAGAAGCCTGAGTTACGTGGGATGGGTGAGATCAACCATTAGCCGGAGTTTTTAATTCTAACAGATTGCATCTCTCAACTCCATCCAGATGTTTATTAAGAAACAAATTTTACAAACTGGTTTATTTGTTCGCAGGCAAGGCAGGAAGGCCACTCCTCCTCCGACGCTCTCTGATGTCACCCTTGGGGTGGTTAGCTTTTCTAATGTCACTTGTCAATGCTGATGAATTATCTACAAGATTGATTTGCTTTGGGTTACTTTCAATTCCTGAGGCTCTTCGGTGAAGCTCGTTCTTGCTACAAAATTCTCTAAGCTCCATCAAGAACAAAGCCCAACATTTTCCACCAGCAAAGCTTGCCAAGATGTTCCAGAACAATTGGCCAACATGTTGGAAATGTAAAAAAGTACATGGAACATATTATCATTTATGGTGGACATGCCCAGTTGCGAAAAAATACTGGACTAAAATAAGAAGATGGATCGAAGAAATAATAGCCTGGAAACCAGAGATCTTTTTGCTGGGTATTTTAAATAAAAAATATAGTAAAGAAATACGGTACTTAATTCTACATATAACAATGGCAGCAAGAATAGCATACGCACAGTTCTGGAAAAATGAGAATATACCATCAGAGGAAGAAGTGATAAGGAAAATCCTGGACTGTGCTGAGATGGACAAATTAACAAAAGAGATAAAAGAAAAGGAAGACACAGAGTACTATCTAACATGGAACAAGTGGTATGACTGGTTGGAGACTAGAAATAATAGAGGAGAATAAATGTGGAAAGGTCAACAGTGGAAAATGTGTGTATAATAATGTACAGTAATAATAGTATGTATTATTCTTAGTATGAAGTATAGCATGAAGGAAGAAAAATGCAAATAAGAAACAACGGGACAACAAGGACAAATATATCTAAAGAAGAATAGGGGGGAAATGTAAATAATAGAAGATTACTGTTACGAAATTGCTGTTAAAAAAAAGGAGGAGTATACACTGTGTGTGTATGTGTGTTATGTTTTGTTTTGTTGGTTTAAAAAATAAAAAATTATTTTAAAAAAAAAGAACAATTCCCAAACTTCTCAAGATCTTCCCAACGCTGGCATGCATTCCTTCCTTGGGTGCCCTGATTTAATGCAGAAACATGCCACAAGGAATTATCCAGGAAGCAAATGAGCCATTCTAGAAAAAAAAGATATTTTCCAGGCTAAGCAGAACGATAAACACACCAGAGTCACCCTAAAGGCAATCTGGAAGGATCAGGGCAAATTTTAATCACTCTTGTTCTTCCTTCCCCAAAATAATTGACTGAAGTTTTTGCTGATGGAAGGATAAGACTTGTGGTGTATGAATTTGGGGAGGATCCTTTAGCTGGCACGGAATAAGATGTGATGAGTGGCATGTTTTTACAAAGGTCTTCTTATCTATGGTGCAGGCTTGGCACAGGAAAAGGGAGTTACCGCTATCCGTCAAATCGGTCTAGTTCAGTGATTCTCAACCTTTTTAATGCCGCGACCCCCAGCCGGTCGTAAGTCGAGGACTACTCAACCGGTCGTAAGTCGAGGACTAGTCACCTGGTGCAGCACCGTTTGCAGAATGGGACTTTTGACGGGCTCAGCAGGGCAGAGACAGCCTGGACAAATCCTATTGGCTTTTGAAAGCCAATAGAATTAGACTCTATTCAAGAGAGTCTATTCTATTGGCTTTCAAAAGCCAATAGAATAAAAGGGAGTAGCACAGCTAAGGAAAAGGGGAAAAAAATGGCGGACTGCGTTGTTTGGCGACCTTGTGAAATGGTCGTTCGACCCCAAATGGGGTCCCGACCCACAGGTTGAGAACCACTGGTCTAGTTAAATCATCTTAGTTGCTCTTCTCGGCCCTTTCTCCAAAGATGTTGAGACTTTGGGAAAAGGGCAAAGAAGAGCAATTAAGATGATTAAAGGCCTGGAGACTAAAACATATGAAGAACGGTTACCAGAATCAGTTATGGCCAGTCTAGAGAAAAGAAGGCCTAGGAGTGACATGATAGCAGTATTCCAATATTTGAGGGGCTGCCACAAAGAAGAGGGGGGGGTCAACTTATTTTCCAAAGCAAAGACAAGAAACAATGGATGGAAAGGAGAGAAGCAACCTGGAATTAAGGAGAAACTTCCTAACAGTGAGAACAATTAACCAGTGGAACAGCTTAGCCTTCAGAAGTTGTGGGTGTTCCATCACTGGAGGTTTTTAAGAAGAGACTGGACAGCCCCTTGTCTGAAATTGTATAGAGTCTCCTGCCTGAGCAGGGGGTTGGACTAGAAGACCTCGCAGGTCCCGTCCAAATCTATTCTGATTGATTGAAAGAAGGGCTTGTTTACTATATGCTTTCACAAATGCAATAAAACTAAGGTGGACTGCAAGCTGGTCCTTTCACCAATTGTAGATCTTGCCGCCCTCTCAATTCCTGGCAAATAGATGGGGAAGAAATGGAGGCAGTGACAGATTTTATCTTCCTGGGCTCCAAGATCACTGCAGATGGGGATTGCAGCCAAGAAATTAGAAGACACTTGCTCCTGGGGAGGAAAGCTATGGCAAATCTAGACAGCATACTAAAAAGCAGAGACATCACCCTGCCAACAAAAGTGCAAATAGTCAAGGCCATGGTTTTCCCAGTGGCAATGTATGGCTGTGAAAGCTGGACCATAAGAGAGGCTGAGCGCCAAAGAATGGAGGCCTTTGAACTCTGGTGCTGGAGAAGACTCCTGCGAGTCCTCTGGACTGCAAGGCGGTCCAACCGGTCAGTCCTAGAGGAGATCAACCCCGACTGCTCTTTAGAAGGCCAGATCCTGAAGTTGAAACTCAAGTCCTTTGGCCACCGAATGAGAAGGAAGGACTCCCTGGAGAAGAGCCTGATGCTGGGAAAGATGGAGGGCAAGAGAAGAAGGGGACGACAGAGAATGAGGGGGCTGGATGGAGTCATTGAAGCAGGAGGCGTGAGCTTAAATGGACTCCAGAAGATGGTAGAGGATAGGAAGGCCTGGAGGAACGTTGTCCATGGGGTTGCAATGGGTCGGACACGACTTTGAAACTAACAAACAAACAAAAACAAATTCTCCCTATCTTTCCAAGTGCTTTCAAACCATGCAGATCCAATGCATTCTAGTGGCCAACCAGGAGTAAAATTCACTTGTGGAATTTGGAAAGTTGGTAGATCCCAAATCCAAACCTCAGCAGGAAAAACGGAAGTCTTTCACCCGGATGCTGATGGTCTGCAACTCAGTGTAGCTTTTTAATTTTTCCGACATCATGCCAAATGCCAACGCTCGTTATTTCAAGTCGGAGTCCCCCAAAAACATTCGTTTCTCTAATTCATCACATCCTCTCAAAATACGCAGGCGTCAAGAGAGGGTCACCTTGCGAATAACAACAACAACAACAACAACAATCATCCCTACCTCCCAGAAGTTTTACAAACACTCCCCGATTCCCACAGGAAAAATTCCAGCAGAATTCAGCAACTCTCTCGTTCCCAGTCCTGTCACTTGCCTTTCAGTCTCACATTCGAAACAAAAACAAAATTGCCGGGTAGAGTATCGTGCTCTCTCCTGCTTCCCTTGATAAGCAAAAAACGTCCAAAGCCCAGACTAAAAATACATTATTTTTTTCCGATCCATTTTAAACGCCATCCAAAGACAGAGGTGGCAGGAATAAATCTTTGGGGTCGTGTCTAGCAAACCCACAAGACCAGCAGGTGTGTTTCTATAGTTAGGGATCTAAAATTATTCCACCCATTCAGATGTGCTACCGATCAAATATTGGTACTCCCTGACTTATGTCCACAACTGAGCCCAAATTTTCTGTTGCTCACCCTCAGTGCTAGAAGGGAGTGGGGGCTTGCAGAGAAGAAGGAAGAAGGAAGAAAGAGGAGGAGGAGGAGGAGGAAGAGGAGGAGGACGAGGACGACTGTGGGGTCCTTGGTGCTCTCTGAGCTTGGTTGTTTCTTTGCAGATGTTTCATGACCCAACTAGGTAACATCATCAGTGTTAGAAGGGAGTGGGGTTTGTGAGTAAAGGAGGAAGGAGGAAGAAGGAAGCGGACAATGACTATGGGTCTTTGGTGCTCTCTGAATTTGATTGTTTCTTTGCAGATGTTTCATGACCCAACTAGGTAACAACATCGGACGGAATGACTATGGGTCTTTGGTGCTCTCTGAATTTGATTGTTTCTTTGCAGATGTTTCATGACCCAACTAGGTAACAACATCAGTGTTAGAAGGGAGTGGGGTTTGTGAGTGGAGGAAGAAGGAAGCGGACGATGACTATGGGTCTTTGGTGCTCTCTGAATTTGATTGTTTCTTTGCAGATGTTTCATGACCCAACTAGGTAACATCATCAGTCCCTTACCAACCAACCAAACCAA